TTGGTGAGATTTCTCAGTGATGAGTGCATGATGGTGGCATTTATTGCAAAGCTGTAAGACTTCTAGAGCTTGTGAAAATTTGACTGGCTAATTACAAATTAATAATAGACGAAAATCAGAATTTTCACTATGAATGACATTATTTTCTAGTATATATCATGAGGTGGCTTATCTCCTGCCCCCCCATACCCCCCTTCCTCGGGATCAAGGCCCTAAGTCATAATAAGGATGCATTCTAGTACAGAAATACAGAGGACCAAAATTCTTGAATTATTCCATCGTAAGAAAGGCCTCAATCACAAATATAGAAGAAAATAATGTCTAAATATAACTGTTTGCCCCTGAAACAGATAATCCTATTATTTTTTTGTAAACCCAATAAGTTTGTTGATTTATATAGTCAGCTTCTGTTACATATTATGTATGGCTGTGTGTTTTGTGCAATAGGATGCCATGTCGTACAGCAAGTTTAATGTTCTTCACTGGCATGTTGTGGATGATCAGTCCTTTCCATTTGTCAGTAAAACGTTCCCACAGTTGAGTGATGAGGTATGTATCAGAATCAATAATTTTATATTTTGTACCTAATTACTTATGGATAAAGGTTCATTGTCTTGTTCAATGAACAACGCTTGAGAGAGAGTCACTGAAAGACAGCCATAGGCATTTGTAACTTTAACAATAAGTTCATAAACTGCTTTGGTTCTACAGTTGTTTGAAGTACATATCTGCTTGGTTTTCATGATCAGTGATCTGTTTGACGTGGGAACTAGGAGGGAACCCTTCAGATATGAGTGCAGATCAAGTCCCAAGAGTTGATCTTAATAATAAATTGAAGTTCTCACACACTGAATGTCATTTGTCTGCCACACAAGGCAACAGCTATTAACAAACAACAAACCTGAAAACAGCATCTACAAGGACTAATGGATGCAACATACATGTATTCAACATCAAAACCTAAGCCTGTAGGCAAAAAACAGAACATCAGCAATGCTGAGACTGGCAAAGGGCAGGGTGGGCGGGAAAAACTGTTGCTTGTATGGCAAGAAACAGAAAACTGAGTCACGAGACCTAGCACGATACGTGATATCCTAACTCAGGCCCAGCCCCCACTTCAGAGTGTTAGAACCTCATTTCTCACCTCTTTTGCAAGTTCAGCAGGGGAAAAATCTATGACCTAAAGAGTATGCATATACACTGTAATTGTGCCTGCAATGGTGTCTTGAGTATTGTGCATTTAGGGTCCCCCTTAGCAAAACCATTGTTGCATCTGATTTTGAGGGGAAACAAACTGAACATAATTTTTGTTTCGCTGACACCTGCTCATGATTAATTTTTAGGGTGCAATTAATAACAAAACACACATTTACACTCAAGATGATGTTGAAAAGATTCTGGAGTATGCAAGACTGAGAGGAATACGAGTAATCCCTGAATTTGACACACCTGTGAGTTATTCTGACTCATCTATAATTCAGTGAAACAGAAAAGTTTGATGTTAATCACTGTTAAGTCAATTGTATAAGGTTTGTTTTAGGTGAAATGCTGCCTCATTTAATTTCTAAGTTTGAATCAAGATGATTTCCACAGACCATTCAAGCAATTATGGCAAAAATAAAGTTATTAAAAAAACGTCATAGCATGGTAATATTTTGAATAAAGGTAAGAAGAACTTATCAAGGCGTAAGCTCTCAAGCTGACTCTGCAAGAGAAAATTGAACTTGAAGTTATCCATATTTCAATGAAAACGGACGTTTCACGCTAGTTGGAAACACAATAGCACACGCATTAATGTCAAACGAGGTTTGACAACAATTTTCTCAAGAATGCTCGAGAATTTATTCGCCGGGTCACTTAGGGAAATTAGTTAAAGTGATGTGTTTTAAATAGTATTCAAAAAATTACCGTGCTGTGAGTAGATTTTTAGTAAATAATTTTGCACTTATTGCTCGAACTTTGAGTGGAATCTATTTTAATTACATCTGACAAATTATGTTACAGTCAAACCTCGATTATCCGTACCTCGATTATCCGGATTTCTCGATTATCCAGACTTTTTCTCTAGTCCCAATTTTGTCGTGAATATTTATTAGTCATGATCAAGATCTGTAGCAATATTCTTTTGAAAACTATAGCATTGAAAAGTGCAGTCAAAAGCGAGTTTCTTTTGCTTTTAAAGAGCAAAAGCAGCGCTTGCACGCGTCGTAACTAATGAAGAACACTCGAATGAGTTCTGATTAGCTCAGAGTTGAGTGGTTCAAGATATACAGTAGACCATATTGTTTTCCAAATTATTTGTTAAAGTGTTGTTTCACGATTAAATGTTGCTTTATTTAAACAGTTTTTTTCTTCATTAATATTCATATTTTCGATTATCCGGACCCTCGATTATCCAGACTATTTCGTCTAGTCCCAACGAGTCCGGATAATCGAGGTTCGACTGTAGTGGTATTTTGAGCTTTGGGGCGAAAGCATTTTTAATTTAATTAAACCTTAAATTGTAGTTTCTTAATTTTTGTCATTGAAAGTTAATCAGTTTTTAAATGTTGTCACGTGACATGTTTTAGGGCCACACCTTTTCATGGCGGAGTATTACTAATCTGTTGACTCCTTGTTACTCACATGGAAAACCAACAGGGTAAGTATTAATAAATAAACAACTATAACTCACATGTAAATTATATACTAGTGTGTTATATTTAATATAGGGGTTTCAAATTGAGTGTCATAAAACCATGACCAGTGTAAGCATTCTAGCCAATTGCAAAGGACATAGACAATCTAGTGAGCTAATCCAAACTTGAAGTAAATTACATGTAGCTAAGTGATGCAAAGCGCACTGCAGGAAAAGGTGCATGCATGAAGAAGTCACAATATTGGTTCTGGTTTTACTTCTGATTGCATGAAAAAGTGATGCGAGATATTTTAAACCAATCATGTTGCAAAGTAATGCAAACCAATTACTTTTCCACACTTGATCAAATGAAAATTGGTCTAAGAAAAAAGTGAAGACAGGTTCTTTTATAAACAAATTTGTAATAAGAAAAGTTAGCACAGTTGCATGATAATAAAATTAATAACTAAATCATTGTCAATGCACTACGACAACCATTCAAACAAAGTACTGTGTGTCTCACTAGAGAGGCTAAGTGTCTAAAGCATTACTTTTGTGTGTTTGCAGGAGTCTCGGACCTATCAACCCAACCATAGAATCCAATTATGAATTTCTGACTGATTTCTTTAAGGAGATTGCCGAGAGGTTCCCAGACAAATATGTTCACTTGGGGGGTGATGAAGTACCCTTCAACTGTTGGTGAGTTTATCCTTCTGACATTATTGTTAATTATTAGAATATGGATCAGTTTAATTTTCTAGGTGATTATTTGAGATGGCAAATGACCCTCTCAGGAAGAGATGTATTGTTAACACTTGAATCTGCGACAAGAGCATAAAAATAATAATGTTTTGCTGAGCTTATTGCATTTTTGGTTGTACGCTGACAAGTTTATGAAGCTGTTTGTCTTGAGATGGAACAGGTTACTAAAGAGTTCTAAATTCTTTTGAATTATGTATACTATAAATCTTCAAATTAGCACTCGGGGCACTTATTTCAAATTTAGGAATAGACAGGGGCACTTATTTGAGGGAGGCACTTAATTGAGGGGGCGAGGCTTATTTAAAATTCCCCAACTTGTTGCTAGATATGATTGTTTTTGTGTATTGAAACATTTGTGAGTGGAAGCCTGCACTAATTCAAGGATTTACGTTATGTACATGAACAGGCAGCAATTCTTTGATGATTCTTGTTGTAGGCAAAGTAACCCAGGTATAACCGAGTTTATGATGGGAATGGGATATGGCACCAATTACTCATTACTGGAGCAGTACTATGAACAGAAGTAAGAGCTGGCTGGTTTATAATTATGTTGTGGATTAAATTAACTTTGGTTTAAGAACTTTCAACCAGTTTGGTCTGTGTTTGTTTGTTACAGATTCTGATTAATTATGAGACAACAGAAAATTACGGCCCTGTGGATAGTGGCCACTTACAGGAGGCTGGCCGCTTAATAATGATAATAGGACTGAGTGGAGTCCAATTTGGTCTGTAATCATACGAGTGATTAACAAAATCAGACAACTGCAAAGTGGGAGTCTGCATTGTTAATCACGAATATGGTTACAGACTGAATTCAATGCAGTGATATCCTGTTGCCAATTAATCATAACCATTACAATTTCCCAGAGAAGTAAAAGTTTCAATTTAAAAAGTCAGAGCTTTTAATAGTGATTTTTAAATATCATAATTAAAAATATGAAGAATAGCTTGCAAAATGGCTGTTAAGTTTCTTTCAAAACTCTCACTGCAGACTAAACCTCCACAATGTTACAAAGTCAGTCTCTTGAATTGGTTACTTCGTATTAATATGGACTGTAATCAATGTTGTAATTGGTGGATTTAGTGGAGAGGACTTAAAATGATTGGTTCATGTAACTGTCTGATTGCAGGTTTTCCAATTACAGCCAACTGTGTGATTACAACTTGGCACACTAATTAGAGCAAAATACAGCAGTTTATACACCAATCATATTTGAGAAAATTGTAATTGTTATGATTAATAGAAGTAAAAACAATAGGAAAACCATCATTGGGACTTTGATTACTGGCCGTCTACTGCACCTAATAGGTGTGACTGTTTCATAGGTGGCCACTGGGTAGGGGCTCGACTGCAGTAAGAAACGTTTTTTGTGTTCATTGACTGTTGAAAGAAGTTAGTAATTACATCATATTGGGTTAGTTTTGATTATTGGGATACGTAGTGGCATCTGTAATCGTTTTTGAGAATAATTACGCTTTTAAAAATATTTTAAACTCAATGTACTCTTAAAGTTTTAATTTTTTTCTTGAAAAAGATTGCCCCAATTAGTTTTGAAAAGCTAAATTTATTTTCTTATCAACAGTTTTGTGACAACTATGTAAAAATTGATGCTGGCTAAAATGAAAATCTTGAGTGTCTGCACAATGCAACATGTGACTGGCTTGTAACGAGAACAAGCTAGGGTGGGCTCGAATGGAAACATAAACTGTTCTGCACCCCTTCGCCCAATTTTTATAGTCTAATGTCCGAACTTTGACTGGTGGCCTACTGCAGGTCATGTTGCAAAACTTATTTGTTTTCAGACTTCTGAAGATAGTCGGCAGTCTTGACAAGGAGTATATCATCTGGCAGGAAGTGGTTGATAATGGTGTGGAGGTTCTGCCCGACACTGTCGTCAATGTGTGGAAAAGTCCATGGAAAAATGAGATAGCAAAAGTGACAGGCCTGGGTTTAAAAGCCATTCTCTCGTCTTGTTGGTATCTGAACTACATTTCCTACGGAAATGACTGGCACAAGGTAGATGATGTGATACAGTATAGTTATAAACACCTTGTCTTTTAGCTGTTTTAAAACACATTATAGCCATGATTAAGAGTCATAATGAGTTAACAGGGCTTCTTTGTACTTACTGTACTGTGTTACAGTACTGTACACCTCACCATCACTGTATTGCATTGTATCACCACTGTATTGTACACCATCATTCTTACCAGAGACGTACCTTACACGCTTCACTGAGAACGCGGAAAGACGACAATAATACTTTAAAAAGTTGACTTAGTTTATCTACAGAGCAAGAGACCGTGTTGTGCCGATCATGTGTTCAAGTGTCCCATTCAGCTGTAGCTTATCCTAGTTTCCAAAGGAGTAAGTGACTAAGAGCTCCCTTGAGGGGGGGAAAAACCTCCTTGGGGGCTACCCACACCATTGAATTCGCCCATATAAGCCGGGAAAAAGAAACCAAATATTGTTTGTAGTCAGTTGTCACTAGTTTGTTCTCGCAAGTATTGCAGCTGGGACTTAAGGCATTAAGCTTCGCAATTAATTTCAATTCGTTTACATTATTCACTTGTTTAGTTGTAGATTAGTTTTCCTTTTTTAGTTATTGTAATAGTTTTTTGCTCTTTTTGTGTCTGCAGTATTATCAATGTGATCCGCAAGATTTTGTAGGTACATGGTATAACTTTTTTGTCGTTATTTATCCCTTAGTTTTTTATTTGGTAGTACAAACTAAAAGATATGAATCAATGTTTTCTACAGCTCGCAGGACTTAGTTGTTCAGTAGCTTACAGTGCTGGTCAACATAGGCTGCAAGGCAATCGAACGAGGCACGGTTTCAAACAAAGGCTCTGGATCTAGTAAAACGGTTACGGAGGCTAGAAAGATTAAATAATAGATGTTTGGTTTTTCTCTTGTGTGAGAAACCTATCAACAGCAATGTGCAAGCAAGCAAGCCCTCTTGTTGTGGCGTGAAGGGTGAGGGAGTAAAGCTGATTTTTTTTTTCCTTTTTCGCAGGAACTGACAAACAGAAGGAACTGGTGATGGGTGGAACCGGCTGTATGTGGGGAGAATTTGTAGATGCTACCAATGTGCTCCCCAGGACTTGGTAGGCCTGTGTTTTTCATTCCTTATTATTTTTATTCCGTAACCTTTCTTGATTTAACGTCTTCCTTCAGCAGACAATTTGGCCTGCTGTCTCAAGTGTTACAGCTTTGTTGATATCTTTGTAAACATTTAGTACTTAGTACCGAAATATATTGCTCTGTCCACTGATGGTAAAGATCCAAATATTTGCTGTACTTGATGCACGATAATGTTTGTTTTTTCTTTCTTTTTCTCTCTGTATTTTTGCTGTGCATCAAGCTAGGATACTACTCTCCTGACCTGAACTGAGGGCCAACCACTGCTTTTTTAAAAGGACTTTGTCCTGTGTTTTCCGTGCAATCACATTAACAAGGAATTGCGCAAAAACCACTATATCTTGTTAAGATCACTAGAGACACTTGAAAGATCATCACTTCTGGTAATTATTCTTTCCCTCTGATCGTTTCAGGCCTCGTGCCCTTGCTGTGGGTGAGAGACTCTGGAGCAACAAGTATGTGACAGACCTGAATGATGCTGACAAGCGCCTTTGGGAGCATAGATGTCGCTACATCAGGTGAGGAAGTTTTGTTCGCGATTTACACTGCAGTGGATGCTTGAAAAAAGATTTTAAAGAACTTGGTTAAATGGGCCATACCGCTGTAGCTTATCCTGGTTGTTGATGTATGAAGCGACCAAGAGTATACTCCTAAGTTCCCCTGGATGGGATGCTAGTCCATCGCAGGGTCACCCCCAAACATTAATTTCAAGGGTACATATACCCATCCCTACACAGGCACAGTGAGAGTCAAGTGTCTTGCCACGTCCTGTAAATATCGCCCTGGCCAGCCTCTAACCAATTGATGTTTTTTTTTTTAAACTGAATTATATTTCCATTATTTGTGTCTCAATTTATAGTGTTTCCAATAAAAACAGCAGCGTTAAAAATTTTGACACTTAAAGTGGTTCTTTTATCAAGTGTTCGTCAATGTTTCCTTCAAATTGAAAGGAGGCTTGCACTAACACCTCAGGGGGGGGGGATTCAGGATCTTTTAAGGGGGAGGGTGGTTGGTATCTTGGGGTTGTAGAATCAATGGGACATACCCCCAAAATCTGGAAATTTGAGAACTGGAACCTAAATGAAAACTGCTACACCAGAAATACTAGCAATACCACAAAGTAAAAATTACGATAAGGGCCCTGTCCAAAGTGTTTGTCTTTTTTCTTCCCACAATTGTTTCAATTATTTTATTTTCTGCTCCTCCAAAGAGGGGGTGGCTAGCCACCCAATCCAGCCCCCTTCCCTTCCCAAAATCCGCCCCCCGCACCTTTGAAGTTGATAACTATCGGCATTACTCCAACAAATTCCGGCCGACAACGTCATCGGTTTTAGAGTTGTTTTCAAAATTCTACAACTTGTTGCCGCAAGAAAACAATGTGTTAAGAATCGTCGAACCCTCCATTTTACCCGAGATGATTTTTAAAGCTTTGCTTAAAATCATCCCGTTCAACATTTCGTTGCTGCGGTTTATGAGTTTCATAGTTTTGGAGTGTATATTTTCATGTGTGTCAATATTTCTTGCAGGCGTGGAATTCCGGCCGAGCCTGGAGTCCAGTCCCAATACTGTCGACACGAGTGGTATTACTAAAGAGAAAGCTGTTTTGAAATAAGAAATCATTTTTCTAATTATTTTGCTTATTTTTGAGTCAGTAGGGTAAAGAAGAATTTTGTATACCTGTAAGAGGTACACTAAATCTACAAACGGTTAGCTCATCATGTTTTAGTTTCGCGTTGCCGGTAGTTTGGTATGATAGCACAAGTGTCTGTAACTTCACACTAAAATAAGTCGCATCTCGAGCAAGTTGTATGCCTCCATTTTATGTGAGCTGTACGCAAATGTGAGGTTCCAAATAAAGAGTTTTCTTAAAGAAATCGCCTGCACGTTAAATTTGTCCCATGGTGATCTATGCCGATTTCCCTGTGAAGGATTTGGTGTATAGAGGGCATTAATAAAAGCTATACCCTCCATCTAATGTTCGGACTCAGGCTGAAATGTGTCACCCTCTTCCCTTAAGTTCCCTACATACCAAGGCGGATACAGGATTTTAAAGAAGAGGGTTCGAGATACGGACCACGGAAGGTGGTCCCCTGTTGTGTGAGGCCCGGGGGTATTCCTCCCCGGAAAATTTTTTAAATTGAGGTTCTCCGAAATGGGATTTCCGGCATTCCGAGGCCAAGTCCGTGTGTTATAATGAATCCGCCCCGGTCACATCTGGCACTCTTTTTTTTTTCTACCAGCATTTTTGTCGTTTACATCACACCTCATCAACTGCCTTACTATAGACATAATTGTTCAGGGGAATATTTTCTATCCCTGATGATACCGTAGATCGACGAAAGCATGGAACATTGACCAGTCTATGTTACAGTAGTTTAAGGCCTCAACTCGAAAGAACACGAGACTATCTAACATGCTTCTGAAGAATAACATTCAACGCTGACTGTTTTTAAGATGTTCTTACGTTACCAATCTCCAATGTAGTTTAGACGAAACGATACATTTTACGATAACTACAGAAATTCTCGCGCGCTCACTGGCTAATTTTTATGTCAATAAGCGGACATACACATGAATTTATAATTTGTACGATGCGTCAACGAGCGGGAGCGGACAATTTGACAATTTGTTATCGTAAAACACAAATTGATGTCAGTTTTTAATGCGTCTGTCCTGTTATTGATAATGAATTTCGTCATAACATTGTCAAAGTAATCTGCGGATCCACTCGGCTCTCGCCTCGTGGATCCACAGCTACTTTGCCAATGTTATGACGAGATTCATGATCAATAACAGGGCAGACGCATGAAAAACTGACGTCAATTTGTTAAACCGAAGATGTTCTACAATAAACCGTTTGTGTTCAAGTATTTCTCTGGTTATCGGACTGCATCAGAGAGGCACATTTTGCAGTAGTGTAAGAAGTGGTATTGTAAGTTAAATAAGTAATGGTATTGTTTTGTNTACTGTGCTTTGGACAAAGTTGTAGTACAGGTATACTTTTTTGAACCAGGGTAGATATATTTGATATCCCACCAGCCACAAGGGCCATCCAAGGATAAAACACTAAACAAAACTACAGAACAAAACCTGGTTTATTACAACGTTAACTCTTCAAATATCAGCTAATACTAAAAGCAATTGTGTAATTATATTCAGGTTTGTATTAACATCATAACTATTGTAGCCGATAGCGAATCAGTAAAACTGTGACATACGTGAAAAATAGTTTTTAATAGTGCCTAAGGAAACCGAGATACGCCTTCGTTTTAGGTCCGCTACTATTTTTATTTGCTTCTTTAAAAGGTGGGTGGCTAGCCACCCAATCCACCCCTGGCAAATGAACTCTAAAAGAATGACCGGAAGGGATAATGCTTGGGATCACGGTGTTGGTGTACAGAGCCGTTACAAAATATGTAACGCTAAAAAACACGGTGGAGTATAAAATTTAAGGACAGCTATAACAATCTGACGACATC